AGGGAGCCCGATGCGGGACTCGATCCCGGGACTCCAGGATCATGACCTGAGCCGAAGGCAGTCGCTTAACCAACTGAGCCACCCAGGCGCCCCTCAGCTCAGGGTTGTGACAGCAGCCCAGGTGAACCACTGCCCCGCCGCTCTGCTCTTACAGCTGCCCCCCCACCCCACCCCTGCCTCACTCACAGCCCGCAGCTTGGACCTCAGCTCCGTGACTCTCTTCAGCTCCTGCATCTCAGGCATCCCAGCCACACTGCTGAACCTCCAGGAAGGACAGAGAAAGGACACGGCTGGGGGATCGGGAGGCACAGCCCCGCGACCACATGAGGAGTATGACATCTTTGGGACAGGCTTGCTGGCTTCTGCGGGTACCTGGGGAGTTCTGTGGTTGGGCCAGAAGAACCAACCTCAAGAGGCCCCTACTCACCAAAGTTGTACCGTTGTTGAGCATTGCAAAGAATAAAATGGAGGCAGATGGAAACAATGTGAAGCTATGAAAATTCATGAGTCCATGCAGCAAGGCGACCGTTAATGAACTCCTTACTAGGAATATTTATAACTAAAGGAAAAGAATGAAGCTCCTTTCCAGTAGAAACTGTATGTCATGATAACCAATAGCTTCCTAGTAAGGGAAAAGCTACATTTTATGGCATATTAGCCAATAATGTTCTGGGATCTGGACTATTAGCATCGTGTTGCCCCCAGTGAAGTTATTCGCTTGGGCATGGCATTAAAATCCATGATTAATGATTCAGGCCTGGACAGGGAAAATGTGACCACACGATAGAGGAATCAGGCTGTCCCCACCCAATGGTGGGAGGAAATGAAGTGTACTCGGTGTCATCTATGATGTATTTAGCCAAAAAAATACTCCACTTGAATCCATCTAGCCTTGAAAACTCTCAGTTTATAAGAAATGCTGGGAAAGAAGAAAAAAAAAACAACCCACAGGGTGTAGAGGAGTCCCTAGAGTTCAGAAAGTGGGACAATGGATATTGTCCCCCCAAAATGCTGGGGTCCAGGGGGAGGGGAGAGATAGTCTGTCGAGATTAAAATGGACTTAAGGAACATAACATAGACGCAGAGTGTGGTCTTGGATTGGAGCCTGGTTTGGATAAAACCAGCTAGAAAAGGAGAGTAGGGGGCTAGTTAGAGAACTTTGAGTATGGATGACTTTAGAGGAGATGAAAAGGCACGGGCAAGGGGCTGGAGAGCTCATTAGCTGAGAACAGCAGGTTATAAGAGTGCAAGTACTATCAAATCTCACGTCGGTTAATATACATATACTTAAATACACGTAGCAGAAGACTATCTAGAAGGATGTCTATTACTACAGTGCCACAACCTAGCTCTGGGTGGCAAGGACGTGGTATTTTTATTTCGGTTTTGCTTATCTGTATTTTCCAACTTTTCTACAATTAGCACATACCATTTCTACCACAATCACAATCAGGGAAAGAATCCCGTGTGCTTTGGCTTGGGAATGGTGTTGGCAGAGGGGGAGGGGAAGGAGAGAGGAAGGGGGAGAATCAGAAGCTCCACAAAGGCCGGAGTTCACCATTATATCCTCAGTACCTCACACAGCGTTCGGCACATGGTAGTTCCTTCATACGGGGTTGTTGAATGAATTAGTGAACGAACAAATGGATTTTAGCGTGTGCAATGCTTGCTGGCAGAAGCAGCTGAGGCTGTCTAGTCCAGCTGGGCAGGGAGGCCAGGGAGATGGGTCTGAGCACCAGTCCTAGCTGCCCCCTCGTCTGTCTTGCGGGATCTGGGGTCAGTCACTTCAGCTCTGCAAGACTCAGACCTTCGAGTACATAACGGAGAGATAAGTCTCCATATTTGTGGGCATCAAACAGGACCTCAGAGCTCAGGCGCTTGGCTGGACAGCATGGACATACACTTGGTGGCGGGGGGGGAAGCATGGGGCCTCTTGAACAAGTCCCGGCTGCTGAACAGTGCCACCACAGGGCAGCAGCCGCGAGGAGGACCAGGGAGCACCAGGACAGAGGCGAGGACACTCTGCCAAGGGAGCGTGGCTTGGGGAGCCCGAGGCAGGAGGAGTGCACTATGGGAGAGGTGAGTCACCAGGCTGGGCAACGGCAGCCACTTTATGCCTGGTGCTCATTAAATTACCTCCGATTCCAGAATCTACGGATCTGAGGATGTTCAAAAAAGAACGGAATTGCAAAGCGTCAGAGGGAGGAGGCCTTCAAGATCATCCAGTCCTCTCATTTTGAAAACGAGGAAATAGTGGCTCAGGCTAGGAGAGAGAACAGTGGCCTGAGGTCCCAAGTGAAGAGCTTGGACTGGGCCTCTGACCCTCTGCCCGGAGCTCCTCCTGCTCCTTGGCGGGAGGGAGGCTGGAATATGCTTCGAAGCAGGCACCCCTCTGAGCCTGAGCTCTCTAGATACTCCATACCTCCAGGGGGGCTGGGGTCCAGAAAGCAAGAAACGGTGGCCAGCAGACCCAGGACTCCAGCCCCAGGGCTGGCCTGTTGCTTCTCCACAGTCCTCAGGCCAGGGCAAATGGGCAGACAAATACCCCAAATGCTTTCTGGACCCCCTTTCTGTGCCCTGGACAGAGCAGCCCCTCATCTCTGCCACCATTTGAAGGGGGCTCAGCCAGGCCAGGAACTCTGTCCCTATCATCTAGAGACTCTCCTCCGCCTCTTCCCACACCTCTGTCGCCCCATCTGCCCCCTCCTCAGAATCGCTGCTGCGCGGCTGGGAACCTCCCAGGACCTTCCTAGGGAGAGGGGCCAGGCGACGAGCGGGGTGGGGACATCAAGCCGTTCAGCACAGGTTCTGCTCCTTTGTTGTTGTACGCCTCCACCCGGTAGGGAAGGTTCCAGAAACCATCAGCTTCCCTGCGCTGCAGCGCTACCCCTCCCACCTGTACCCCAGGCCGTGCCTTCCAAGATCTGGGGGGCGGGGGGCGGCTGTGCCCACTGCTCGGAAGTGCTCTGGCCAATGAGGTTTTCCTGCTTCTCATCTCCAGGCCCTGCAGCTTGCTCCCCTCCTCCCCAGCCTGTCGCTCTGTCTGGCCCATCACCCCTAATTAGCCCAAGTCAGCCGCGGGGTGGGCATGGAGCCCCGAGGCGGGGCCGGGAAAGGTGAGGACAGTGTAAGACCCAGAGACAGAAGGAAGAGCGTGGAGGATGAGACCACCCGGATCCCCATCCTGTCGGGGGCGGGGGGGGGTTGGCCGAGGCTTTGAGGGCCTCACCTACGGTGCTGCTCTGGGGCTTCCTACCTGCTGAGGCAGTGCCCCCGTGGGGCCCCCCGTTCCCCCTGCAGTGCCTGGGTGGTGGTGGGGGGGGAGGTACAGTCACCCGGCAGGCTGGGGGATGAGGGACAGGTAGGGGTGCCCTCTGTATTCTCCAACGGCAGGGAGGGTGGGAGCTCTGGGTAGGGGAAGGCGAAGGGCATGGCTGGAAATATTGGGGGTGAGGAACAGGCAGACAGAGAAGGGCTGAGGGGTCTGAGCCAGCCTCACACCTGCCGCAGCCCCGCTGCCCCGGGCAGGACACCCACCTCTCGGTGCCCAGGCTGCTGCTGAGGAAGAGGAGGGCCATCCGCGTGACCTCCAGCGTCCGCCTGCACGTAGCCTGGAGCATCTCCCTGCAAAAGGGGTGCTGAGTCAGAGCTCCCTTCCGCCAGGGGGCCGAGGGCACGGTGCCCGAGGGAACGGCCCCAGGGCTGCGTGGGAGAGGTCTACCCTGCCTGCCCTGCCCATCCAGCCCTCGGGGGTACTCACACACACCAGTGCAGCCCCCGAAACATGAACTCCTGCCCGGCCAGCAGGGTCTGCGCCAGCCACAGGGCCTGGTAGCCGGCGCCCAGTACACTCTGCAACACACAGGCCGCGGGGCTAGGAGTCCGGCTCCCCCGACTTGTGCGACCCCTCCCTGCCTCCCGGGCCCACTCTCACCTTGGCGGTGGTGTAATCTGCCTGCAGGTCCACTTTGGGGAAGAACTTGGGGATGTCCTGAGCAGCTGCAGACAAAGACCCTGTCTGAAGGAGCTGCCTATGTGACCTGGACGAACCCTAAGTTCATCTTTCCTTATTCCTCACTCACGCCCACCCTCACCCTGTCTTCCACCTCCAGCTTCCCACCCGGCACAGAGCGCCCCCCAAGCCTACATAAACGCCCTCTATGTGCTTCTCTACAATTGCAGTCCCTCACTGCCCCCTCGTGTCCGCTTCGGAGAACTACATACAGCCTCACGCCCAAAGTCCCAGAAAGAGCCTGAAAATGGGCTAAAACCACCCTCGTACCCAGGAGCTTCAAGGTTAATCCCCCTTCCCAGCATTGGAGACCCTGAGAAGGAGGGAGAAGGGATGATACTTCTTCTAGAACTTGGAAGATAAAACTCTGGACCCCTGACTACCTTCCCTTCTCTCCAGCACCTTGGGCTCCCGCGTCCTCCAACCCAAACTATCCGAGGCTTTCCCACCCATCACAGAGATTGTGGAAATCATATTGAATCCAGATCTCCCTGTTTCAGTTGGAGTTTCTTCCACAGCTCTGTGGACACTGCGAAGCATTTCAGAGGTGTGGGAGAAGGAGAGGCCAGATCTGCTTTCTGCACCCCGTGGGCCCCAAGAAACACCCACAAAAGATACTAATCAATATCCTGGATCATATACCCCTGCCCCTTACAGAATGTGAGAAGGAGAAAAGATCCAGCCTGTGGGCCCTACTCACGGTCCCTGAAGGCCAGCCCCTTGGGGGTCTCGGTGGCCGTGCTGAACAGGGCCAGGGGGTGGCTTGCGGTCGTGTGGGCGATATGTTGCGCTGACAGGCTGGGCTCGAGGACGCAGAGGTGACCCTCAAAGAGGAACTTCTGGTGCTGGGGTGCCACCCTGGTCTGCTCATACACAGCATCCAGAAAGATGGCTATCCTAGACACACCAGGGGTTCCGGGGGAGGGAAGTGAGAGGACAGGAAGTGTCAGCAAGATATGGGGTTCAGGTGACCCAAACCCCAGCTCGGTCTTCATCCACAGAGAGGGCTCAGCTTTCAAAGGGAGGGACCGGGTGATTGCCTCTCTTATCAAGGGTGGAGAGACAAAGGTTAGAGCTCGTTTCTCATTGGAGTGGATGAGGACAAAGTAGGAACAGAACACAGGAGCCCCAATACCCGGGCTCTACCTTTGCACCCCTCCCGGCAACACTCCCACTAAAATTCACCTAGAATTTTAGAAATAAAGGGTTCTCTGAGCAATACATTTAGGAAACACATCGCCAACGTACACACGCACACATGCACACACGCACCCCTCAGATTCCTAATGCACGTTAGCATGGGGAGGGTTGCTGAATCTCTGGAGTCCAGCAGCAAGAAGCACTGTGTCACTTCAACTCTGTGGGACTGGTATTTTCCAAACTAAGGTTGGATGCTCCCCTATCTAAACAGCCCACAGACCGCCTGGGTAGGGAAGGCTCTCGAGCCTCTGCCCTGCGCTCCCGCGCACTCACGTGTTGTGGGCATGGATGTAGACGTGGTGCAGGACCGCCTGGGACAGGGAGAACACGTGGACAACGACCCGCTGCAGGATGTCGCTGGTCTCCGCGAAGAACTGGTCGAAGCCCCAGCACTTGGCCTGTTCCACCTCCAGGATGTTGGCCAGGATGGGCACCAGCTGGCTCTGCAGCCCCCTGGACCCCAGGACACGGAGACGGTCAGGCACCAGGGCCCAGACTCGTCCTCTTCGAGGAAGTCCCAGGGCGTTCCGTGAGAACGTCCTGAAGAGCTGGAACCCAGGCGGTGGGCCAGGGCGGGATAGGGAGGAAGGGCTGGATGAACTGGTTCCGGCATCCAGATGGGAAAACCGAGGCCTGCCCGGGAACATGGCATGCCTGAGCCGACGGGGCGCAAGCGGCCCTCTGAGGTAGGGCCTGACTCTGGGCGGTGGGGCCCAGGGAGGCCGGCCCAGACTCAGGTCTGTCGCTACTCACATGGACAGCCGGCAGGTGATGGGAAGGCTGTAGCTCCACTCCAGGAGCCCGTTCTCCTGCCGCTGCGTGCCCGCGATGGCCCCGGATGGCTTCTCCGTGATGATCCGGTACCTGCGCCGAGGGTCACCAGCTCAGCGGGGCCCCTAGCCCGTCGCACGTCAAGGGATGGCAAGCTCAGCCTGGAGGGCTCTCAGAGCCCTGGTGCTGATCAGCCCGCCACTCCCAGGGAACCTGGAAATGCCAAGCTCTCTGCTCCCTTCCGCTGCCCACTTCCTCCACCCCCTTCCCGCACCTCCCCCAGTCCGGCCTGCCTCTGCACCTTTGCCCTCGCTGTGCTCCCCTTCACTAACCCTCCCCTCCCCTCCCATCAAAGTTCAGCCTTCCCTGACAGCCTCCCCCCATTCCCCTCAGTCTCCTTCCCCTTTCCCTAACCTAGTCCAGGTTCCACACAGCTGGACCCCTGAGCTGACAGTGGGTGTTTCGACCTTCCCACGAATCTTCCTCGCCCCGTCCCCCCATCTTTGTCCCTGGCAGGCTCCGAAAACTTGGGCATGTCTCTTGGAGCCCCCCGTTGAGGTGGGTGAGCCACAAGCGCACGGAGGGAGCACGAAAGGGGAGCACTCAGCCAAGGTAAAGGACTGCTCTCCCATCAGTCAGGGCAGGCCTCAGCTTCTTGTTTGACTGGCTGACGACCAAGGATTGGAAAGGAGCCTGGGCAGAGGTGGCCCCGGGGAGGACCGCAGAGTGAGAGGAGGAAGAGAAGACACAGCCGGGACCGGTGGGGAAGGCCCAGGGTCCGGCCCCTCTCCTTCCCTGCCCGCGGCCCACCATACATCATTTCCTTGTTACGCCGTGGTCCACCAAAGGGGACGAAGGGAAGGCTGCCAGTAGCTGCGTGGTACAGGGTGACCCCAATGCTCCAGAGATCCACGGACACCCCGAATGTCTTCTGCTGGGGCTTGCGAAGCACGGCCCGCTCATACATGTCGGGGTGCTGCCGGAGAGAGAACCCAGGAGCAGCCATGGAGGGGGAGGGTGGGCAAGGGCCCGAGCCCCCATCCATCAGACCTCCTTCCACCACCTTCCAGTGAAAACAGAACTATCAGAACCATCTCCTTCGTCATCTCACAAACTGGTGTGCAGTTAGCCCATCCAGAGCATTCCTCTCTGCCCACCCTCGGCCCTGGGGAAAATGGTGACCAGTGGTGCCCCCTGCTCAGTGAGGCTCATAGCAAGGAATTAACTGCACAAGGGAGGCCCGGGCAGGGGGCCTGGGCAGAGGGGCCCGGGCAGGGACACTCGAGCAGAGAGGTCCAGGCAGGCTGCAGTATCACCTCTTCCGTCTTAGAGAACAGAATAAATTCTTCCAGTTTGGGGGGGGGGGGGGGGGCAGAGGTGACGCCTACCTTGCCACATGCAGGGGGACTGAACAGAGCCCCTCAGGGGGGGTCCGAGAGAGTCACAAGTTGACGGGCAGCTAGCTGAAAGGGCGGGCCCTCAGCTTGGGCAGGGGTCCCCAACATCCCACTCACCAGGTACTCCTCAGTGCCATAGAGAGAGACAAACTTCTCGTCATCATCTAGCTCCCGGGCGGCCCCAAAGTCCGTCAGCTTGTAGATGCTCTGCCCCTCCTCCCCCACGAGGCGCATGATGTTTCCAGGCTTAATGTCGCGGTGGACGATGCCATTCTCCCGCAGGTGGTTCATGCCTGCCACTGGGGAGAGGAGGGCTGCTAGCTCCTTGGCCAGGAACGGCTCAGTGTCTGGGGCTTATTTGGGGCAGAACGCTGTCCTTGGGTCCAGATAGAGAGTTCACACGGGCTGACAGGTCATGGGAAACGCAGGAGAAGAGAGATGGGCACGGGACAAGGGGTGGGGGGGTCCCAAAGACATGGGTGTTGAGATTCCACCAAGATTCTCTAAGAAATCAAGAGGGCCTCTTGATTTCTCTCTGCCTCCCCGGGGATGGCAACCCCCTTCCTGTCTGATTTGTTTTTAAAAATTGTAATAAAATAGACCTAACGCAAATTTGACTGTTTTAAGTGTGCCGTGCAGGGGCATTAAGTAGATTACCAGTGTGGTGTAACCATCACCACCATCCACCTCCAGAACTCTGTCAGTGTCCCAAGTAGGAACTCTACCTATTCAGCAGTCACCCTCATGCCTCCAGCCCCCCAGCCCCCGGCACACACCGTCCTTCTTGCTGTCTCCGCGGAGTTGACGGCACTAGGTCCCGCATTTAGGTGGAATCAGATAGTACCTGTGACTTCACTTAGCACAGGGTCTTCCTGGTTCACCCACATGTAGCATGTGTCAGAACTTCATTTCTTTTTAAGGATGAATAGTATTCCATTATATGTATATATACTATTTGATCGCTCCATCAGCCCGTGACATTTGGGTTGTTTTCATCTTTATGGCTATTGTGAACAACACTGCCACGAACACTGGTGTATGACCTGCTTTAAAAAAATTTTTTTTAAGCTGGGGTTTTAAACAGCTGATTAGCAGGAATCAGACACTTGGATTCCGTCCGTTCGCTACTGTCCGTCCTAGGTCTGTGGATGGAGAACCTCGGAGGTACAGAACGTCTTCGGTGTTTGGGTAATTGTTTCAGAAATGTCAGACCCTCTGGGACTTCGCCTTCCAGTGAGGGCAGGGCCTGTGGCCGGTCTGACAGGGAAGGGGGCTTCCTGGGGAGGTCCAGGAGGGGCTCACCCACACAGCGCAGCACCACCAGAAACTCCTCCTCGGGAAGCCCGAAGGCGTTCTCGGGGCTCTCGAGCACGCTGAGCAGGCTCCCACTGGAGCAATACTCCATCACCAGCACCTTCTGCCGGCCGCCCCCCTGTGGGTGGGACAGAGAGAGGGAGGCTTGGGGTGGAAGGCAAATCTCCTGCCCACCCATCACGATGGGAGGCACCAGCTTTCTCAAGAGGGGGCAACTCAGCCTAGAGCCAAAAGCCGCCATTCTCTAGGTTCCAGCTTCTGGCCTGGCTTTCCCTCCTCGGCCTTACAGTGACCCCATACACCTGAGCCCACGGTCACCTTTTCCAGGAAGCCCTCTTTGATTAGGCCCTACTTCCCCTCTTAACTTTCCCATGTATTACCCCTGCACCCCACCCCCCAGCACTCTTTCCTCCACGCTACCGGTTCCTGCCCTTGGCTGACCAGCTCATGACCACGTCACCATTATTACGTGACCTGACTCTTCCCAGCCTGTGAGGGTCAAGGACAAGACCCCCTCCCTCTGACCAAGCACTGGACCCACCGTCTCCTCCACCGCAAAGAGCTTGACGATGTTCTGGTGGTTCAGCTTTCGCAGGACCTCAAACTCCCTCACCTGCACCTCGAGGGGTCGCAGGTAGCTAGCCGTGTTGAAGACCTTCACAGCAACCAGCTCCCCGGATTTCTGCCATGGGGGCAAACAGAAGTCCCACTCCTGCCCTGGGGAGCACAGCTACTCCCCCAGGCCTCCATGTAGCTTCTCCCACCTGCCCGACACCAGATATGAGCCAAATGGCCTGGTAGGGGCTGGAGGCTCCCACCCTCGGCTCCTTCCCCTCCTCAGAGGGAACATGGCCTGGTCCAGCGCTGGGAGGGGAACGAGGGCTTGGTGCACCTGACTGCACAGATGCAGCGGATGGTTTGTCATTGCTATTCCATTTCTGTTGACAACAACCACACAGGCACCTGCCACTCCCTGGTGCTAGCAGCCAAGCTGGGTCTGGAACCTGCTCTGGCTCCAGCTCTTGACACAAGACTGTGCGGTAGTTCTCACATATTCGGTACAGAGCTGTGACAAAGGCAGGGTAAATCCAGACAAGTCCCACTTCCCAACTCCGCTATTCTAGATTTGCTGCCGTCTCCCTGGGATGCCAGCTTTGGGTCTTGCTCTCTCTCCAGACCCAAAGTGTGCCTGACAGAAGCATCATCCCAAGGAGCCCTCACAGCTCCCCACACTTCTTCCCAAAGCCATAGCATCCCCCCGCTCCAGAGTGTGCTAGGCGTCTGCCTCGGCAGGGGCTGACAGGGCCAAGAACTTCCCCGGGCCTGAGGGGGCCTGGCCAGGGCTGTGTCCTACCTTGTTTCGGGCCTTGTACACACTGGCGGTGGCCCCCTGCCCCAGCAGGTCGTCCGTGTGCCATAGGTAATTGACGGTGCTCTGCATCTCCTGCCCCTGGCTGGCTGGCCACTTCTGGCCTAGAAAAAGGGCATACTGGGGTCTAGGATTCCATTCCTGACCTGGGGTGGACACGGGTGGCCTGACAGGGAGCTGCGCCCAAGACCATCCCACAAAGGGTTCCGGTGTGGCCATTCCAGAGGTGAGGGGACGGAGGAAGTGTGAAGCACAGAAAGGTCAGGAAACTTCTCCAAAAAGAAGTGCCACCACTGGGGCCCTCAGCCTACAGCCCGCGCCTGTCCCGCCACAGGGCGCTCTACCTGTCCTCACTCCCAGTCTTCTCCAACCCCCTCCCCAGAGGCCATTCTGCAGAGACAGACCTTTTTCTCTGTTACCGCTCCCAGGCACTGAGAATTCTGGGTTTTTGGCATCCAGGCCTGGGATTGTCCCAGGAAGCAGAAATAGTGCTTGAAGGAAGGGCCCCAGGTCAGGCAGCGTCAGCCACACCACCACAAATCTCCAGGATTGCAACATGGGCCTGGAGCCCTTCCCCACCCACTCGCCTGGGCCCACCACTTCCTGCTGGTGTGAGTGAACAGCTGCTGGGTGGCCATGTGGCCAGGTCGGCGTTGCTCTGGAGAGGAACGCACACGCTTGCAGCAGGGAGTGTGCGAGTGTGTGTGCGTGCGCGAGTGTGTGTGTGTGTGTGTGTGTGTGTGCGCGCGCACGCGCACCCGTGAGTGCCTGTGGGTGGGGGGGCAGGACACCATCAAATCCAAGGGCTCAGGAGCCCTGGGGAGAATCTGAAACCCTCTACAACTCCATTCCCCATCTTTGTCTCCATCTGTTCTCTCCAAAGGCCAGTTCCTCTAAAGCAATTGGCCCCAGAGAGTGTGGCCCCAGAAATTAAACTCAAATCCTCTCTGAAAAACAGGGTCAGGGCTGGTCTTAATGGGATGACTGGGAGAAGGAGCTTGAGAAGGGCCACCACCTCTTACATACGCTCTAATAAGGCTGGACTAGGCAGGGCTTCTTCACCTTCTAACATCTGATAGGTTCTCAACCCTAGGGTCCCCACACCTGAAATCCTACAGCTCCTTGGCTTTCAAGCACCTTCTCTCTGTAATCTTTTTTAAAATGCAAATCTTGAGAATGTCAATTCCTTGACCCAGCGACCACTTGAAGAGACTTCGTAGCCAAGTCCTAGTTTCAGAAAATGTATTCGTGTTTGCATTTTCCAGAAGCAACTGCGATACAGAGAGACTCCCTGAAGATAGTGTAATAATAGCTCAGTTTGAATGAGTTGATCAGATACATCCCCCATCCCCTCCCCCCAGAGGCCGAGGAAGAATCATGATGCCAGCAGGCCTGGGGATGTGAAGCCTGGCAGAGCACACTGAAACCAAGGCCAAGGAAGGGGTCCAGTCTGGGGAGCGGGTGGACAGCAGATTTCACCACCTTCACAATCCTCCCCAGGGCCGCTCCTCCTCACGGGCCCTGGGGCTGGGGGCAGGGCACAGCTGCAGACCGAGGGAATGCACAGTGTTGTGCAAAAGGCAGAGCCCCGGCAGGACGGCACGTCCTGGGTTTGCTCCTGGTCCTGCCACGGCTGGGCCCACCAGCGGCTGGCGAGCGCATCCGGTAGGCTGTGCGAGCTCTGCGGCCCCCAGCTCAGCGCCGGGTGCGGGGAAGGCTGCTGTCCTTCGGGGGCGGTGGGCTGAAGGAGGGTGGGCGGCGGAGCCAGGGCACCCGCTGCCCCACCCACCGCCGCCACTCCTCCTCCTCCTCCCGGGGGCTCTCCGGCGGCCAAAGGCACTTACCCGCGCTCCGAGCAGCCGCGGATCAGGCAGAGACGCTCCCGGGCGAGAGTCTGTTGTGCTTTCTGTCTGCGGCAAGTCCAGGAGCTGAGCTACACCGGAAAGAGGAGGGCGGAGGAGAGGCACCCCTCGGTGCTGTTTGATGGTGCAGTGTGCTTCTCAGCCTCCGTCAGAGGCCACCGGCCCCAGCCCTTTAACCCCTTCCTGCCTGTCACCCTCCCCCACCGCGCCGGGGCTTTCCATTTCCCCAGCCGCTCCGGGAAGAGACTTTCCTCCCCACCGCCCGGGCCTGGCGCCGGGGAGAAGGACCGCAGGTGGGGTGAGGGCAGGCCCCCGGAGCCGGGCAGGAGGAAAGGACGCAGGCAGAAGCTGAACGTGGCGGCCGGCGCTAGGAAGCCGAGCCCAGCAAGGGAGCGTGGCGGGCGGGTGGCCACTCTCCTCCTGCATGACCGTCCCCGCCTCTCTCCGGCCTCCAGCAGCCCTCTGCAGGGGTGACCGCCGCCGACGGCGCGCGGGAAACTGCCGGGAATCCCAGAAGCGGCAGGGGGAGGCGCCACGGGGCCGCGAGAGCTCCGGCTCGGCGCCCGCAGCCCGGCACCCCGCGGAGAGCGGCCCTGCAGCCGCCCCGCGCCGGCCGCCCGGTCCCAGCACCTCCCCCCCGCCCCGCCCACTCGGCACACTCACCCCATCTCGGCTGTGGGCCTGGCAGGCTGGTGGGGGCGCGTGGCATCCGCCGAGCTTTCAGGGCTCGCTGTCATCCATGGGCCGGGCGCACAGCATCCGGGTGGCCGCGGCCCCAGGGACCCCAAGGCTGGGCCGGCCGGAGGGGCCCGTGGCACCCCTGGAGCTGGGAGGGCTGCAGCGGAGGGTTTCCTCCTCGGCTCCCCCTGCCGCCCGCCCCCAGCCCCGGGACGGACACTGCTGCGCTGGGAGCCGGCTCCGCGCTCTCACACTTCCTGATTGTGTTCGTTCTCTCTCTTAAAGGGACAGAGGCGGCGGGGCGGCAGCCGCCACCGGCAGGAAGGAGAAAGGATGCTCTGAGTTCCCAAGTGGCGGTGACGGGCCCAGAGTCCGAGCCACAGAGAGGCCGGACCCGACGCTGGGCGGCGGTGGCGGCCAACGGGTGCCCTTTGGGCATCTGCAGTCCACCGGAGCAGGGAAGTCCAGGACTTGGCCCACAGTTAACCGAGCAGGTTGGGCAAGTTAACCAGGTGGAGCGCCGCCTGGGAAGACGGAGTTCCCACACCCCGGAGCCCCAGGGAGGTCCAGGACCCAGGCCTAGCCGCTCCAGGAGTTGGGTCTGACTCATCTTCCCAGTGAGCCTGCAGAGGCCCACAAGCAAACACTGGAACCCCGGTTATGTCTTCCAGGGTGACCTTGAGCACAGCCCACATCCCTTCCCGGTTTTTTCATCCCAGGTTAGTAACGTTTACTCCGTTGGTTGTGTCGATGACTTGGAAAAATAGGTATGGAAATGCTAGGGAAACTGGAAAGAAAGCGCTTTACAGACTTCGAAGGCACTGAGGCCCACACACCTTCAGAAATTTGCTGGTGACCTTCAGAGACTGCTGGGGCTGGAACCCAGGTGTGCCACCTTCCCAGTCAGGACACCCAAAGTCCCAGGAGACTGGAGAGGTCTGCACTGTTCTGGTCAACTGCGAGATGGCGGTTGGATAAGAAATGGTTAAAACCAGGAAATCCCATGTTTCTAGAGAATGTTGGAGGGACTTTCCCATGGCAACACCTGGTGGTTTCCTCTGGTAGCCCCACCCCTAGCACAGTGACACCAGAGCGGGAGCCCGGCTGAGAACTGGGTGCTCAGGCAGATACACCTGCTGATAACCGGCAGCCCGAGGCATTGCTGCGGGGCCGGCCCCAGGCGCTGCCCTGCTGCCTGTCACAGCAGGAGCAGGAAGAACCTTCCGGGACCCTTGGCTCCCCATCCAGGATTCCCAGCTTTCCACAGGCCCGGCAGTGGGAGAACTGCACTTCCTTGGCACCCTCTGCTGAGGCGGGGCCAACCAAAGCCCTTCGTTGCTGTGGCAAGACCTCACCCCGGGGCGCCTGCCCTCTGACCCTGTGATTCTATTAGACTTGGTGACTGCTCCGTCTGGGTCCCCTCGTGACTGTCATCAGCAGAGCCCCCTGCTGGCCCACAAGGGACATGTACCTTTGATGAGAAACCGACCTTTGTTGTTTTAAGCCAGAGGTTTGCAACAGAACCCAGCCTATCCCTAAGAGTCTCCTCATTTTTCCCTGATGAACTCTCCGTCCTTACCAGCACTCCTACTTTTCTCTCTCCAACAAGCCCAGTCTGTCTTTCCCAGGGTCTTAGGTACCCTCAAACAGTGAACGTGTGTCTAGCAGCTGCTGGGAAGCAGGCACTGGGGGCTGAGGACACGAGGGTAAGACCTAGGCTTCTCCCCCAGAGCCAGGGTTCAGCCCGCGTGGTGAAAGCTCTGGGGTACATACTTCAGCTGGTGGTGATGTGAACCTGGCACAAAGTGGGGGGTAGCAGAGACGGGGTGGTCTCCAGAAGGGCTTGCCAGGAGAAAGCATGCTCAACCAAGCTTCGGAGGCAGGGGAGTGAGGCGGAGAATTGGGGGTCGGAGGTGAGGCATTGCAGGCAGGGGGAACAGGTGCAGAGGCACAGAGGTGTGAGGACAGGGCACCACCTGAGGTAAGGCTAGAGAAGGGGGAGGGGAGGTGGGCTGAAGCCCTGTGTGGTGACTGATCAAGTTTCGCTGGGCATCCTCTGTGAGGTCACGTCCTCTGTGTGGACAAACTCTGGTCCCAGCTGGGCAGCATGGCCCTTGTTTCACTGTGGGGAAGGCACGGGAGCCTGGCGGGCTCCTGAGGGGAAGAGGAAGTCTGTAAGAGGCCACAGCAGTTTCCTGAGTGGCTCTGAGGAGTCCTAGAAATAGAAGTGGCAATCCAAAGGTAGGACAAGGGCCAGAGGTGGGAAGAGGCGGGTCTCTGATGGCCGCTCTCAGGGAGAAAGCACACGTCCACCTTCTACAAAGGGAGGCCGCGGGTGTAGTGGGAAGGGCAGGGGCTTTACCATCAGAGGTTGGAGTCCTCACTCTTCCCCTTGCTCTGCATGACCTAGTCGCCCAACCTTTCTCAGACAGTCGGTGTAAGAGCAAAGTGAGATTTCGTCCCTGCTACCTGGTGGGCCCTGAATAAATACTTGTTGCTTTTTCTGCCCCTACGTGGCTTGAACCTGTTTGTCGTAGCTGCCTCACCTGTCTGGCACCTCAAAGGGAAGAAGGGTGAGAGCAGGCAGGTATGTGGGAGAGGTGGGCAGGGTGTACTCGCCACGCTCCCACATGGATGAGGGGCTGAGTGACCGGGTATCAGAGCCCTGCTTCCTGCCACCTTCATCAGTCAGCTCTAGCCAGGAGCGCGGGGTGAGGAAGGAGGGACGCTCTCGGCAGCCAGACCTGGCACCGCTCCCCCAGGGAGTGGGGAAAGGGGCCATGGGAGCAGCACCAAGCCGCTGAGGGGAATTGAGCCCTGTGCCACCAAGTGCTTGTCCTTCTTGGTGTGGGAGAAGCACTTCCCTCATTCTCTTGACTCTCCAAGCCTCCTGCTCACCACTCCCTCCTACCCTCAGCTACAGCCTTTGCCCTAAACTTCACTGACATACAAGAAGCAACTGAAAGGGAACCCCATCATCTCCTCACCCCCACATCCACTGCCCGCCTTGCATCGCACGTGCTTTCCCTCTAGTGAGACGGAAGGGCCTCTTCCCGTGGCCATGACCAGCCCCTCCATCTGTGCTCTGTGATTCAACCTCTCCTGCGCATTCCTTCTTCCCCTCCCACTGGCTCCTGCTCTGGAGCAAACATGCCTCAAAGAGCCCATTGTAAAGACAAAAACCTGGTCCCTCGGTCCCTCTTGAAGCTCCCCATTCAAGACCGTGCCTTTGCATGAGCTGCCGAGACCCCCTGACCTCCCCTTCCCTCCCCAGAGGCCGCCCAGCCCACTCCAATCTGACCCATTTCCCATCTACTGAAAGAGCTCCACGTCACCGAAGAATGACTGCCTCTCTAGCTGGCCTCATCTTACCCACTGGCATCTGACAGCCGAGCCTCCCTCCTCCTTGAAATCTGTCCTGACACCATGCTCTCCCAGCACCTACCTGTCCCCTGCTCCCTCTGTCTTTGCCGGCGCCTTCCTCTCTACTGGATGTCTAATTACTGGGACCTTCTTTGTTTCCATTTACACATTCTTCCTGGGAATCTAGTAATTTGAGTATCTCCATAATAAAATAGATCCTGAAATTCTGTGCAGGTGTGATCCGCCCCTAAAACCCCATATCATATACTCAAGAGTCTATTTGATATTTCTATTTGGACGTCTAGTAGTCATTTCAGCTTTCCCAGGCTGCATGGAATTTCTTGACTGTACTATTCCTTCCCCAGACACTAACGACCCATTACATTGTTTCATTTTCAGAGTCCTGCTTGGCTTATTTACCTGTTCTCCCTCACACCAGAAAGAAAGCGCCATTACCTGTTTCTCCTGCTTGATATTTTATAACAGTGCTTGGCACACAGGGAGGCTTAGTTTGTTGACTGACTGAGGAATGAGTCTTTGGCACGTGCAATATGTGAAGATAGCTAACTCCAGAATAAAAAGAAGTTTCATGTACCTGTTGAGATAAACGTTTAGAGTAGATACTTACTAAGGCCATTTCCTAAGTTCATATCCACCTGGTCTCCTTTTTGGGTTTATCTGGGTGGAATGGGCCTGTTTTCAACTGTGTTCATTGTCACTAGCTTCCATCAAGCTCCCATCTGAATATATAAAAATTAATTAGAGGATATTCCACAATAGCCCACCTTTGCCTTTGGGCTCCCTGAAAAGGCTCCTTGGTCCTCTGCCCACAGCTTATAAACCAGCTCCATCTTGGGTGCCTGGGTGGCTCAGTCGGTTAAGCGACTGCCTTCAGCTCAGGTCATGCTCCTGGAGTCCCAGGATCAAGTCCGGCATCGTGCTCCCTGCTCAGCAGTGAGTCCCCTTCACCCTCTGACCCTCTCCCCTCTCATGCTCTTTCTCATTCTCTCTAAAATAAATAAAATCTTAAAAACAACAACAACAACAAAAAAAAAAAAAACAGCTCCATCTCACAGGTCACCACCTACACTCAGGAGTGGAGAGCTCACCCATAGCACAGAGTGGCAGGACAGCCTCGTCTTTGACTTCTCCAGGACCAAGGGACCAGCAAGAAAAGCTCAAGATGGAGCTCTACTATTAAAATGAAGGAGGGGGAAGAGAGGACAGGTTGGAAGGGCGTGAGCCAGATGGAAGTGATGGACTTTAGAGTATGGTGTCTGGTCGAGGGCTCAGGGTAGGATTCCTCATATTACCATTGAACACTGGGCATCCCCTTGGATATGAGAGATCTGATCCCTCCCCGGGGGCTTCTGGAATAAACCCAGTAAAAATAAGCGTAAGCCCTTGGATGCATTATCAGTTGCTACCTTTAATTAACTTCACCCTTGAGCTTATGATCTGCTAGAATCAAAATCTAAAGGCGAGAAAGCAACTCTTGTGTGCCCCACCCCTGGGCTCAACACCAACAGCACAAGCCTAGGGGTCAGCTCTTTTCCCAGAGGCAGGGGGCATCCATAGGCAGAATGACTCAGGGCTTGGCTTGGGCAAGAAATACAACCTTCAGTCACCCTTGGTTGTGGCTGGCAAAACCTGCGAGCTACCTGACAGGCCCCACTCCTCCAAGTGGGGAAATCTGACCAGCGATAGAAAGGAGAATGGTCCTCGCTGAAAACAGGGTGGGTGCATTCTGTGAAGGAAATGGTTCTCACGGCAACAGACTGCCCAATGGGGAGCTAGAAGACTTTCTACAAAACCTCTTAGGTTTCACACATAATGCTGGCGGGGGAGGGGGAATCCACATTCCAGATGCGCCTCTGCTGCGCCTTGCTGGGAGGGAGAAGGTGGTTGGCTTCTGAGGTCACATTTCTCCTGTTGCCAGGCAGGGTTCTATCGGCACAGACGAATCACATTTCCTCCTGGGCGCTGGACTCCTGGGCTGGAGATTTCAGGGAGTGGAAAAGGGATATGAACTGCAGCATCGAAACCTAAAAACGTATTTTATTTTGAAGTTGTGCTTTGGATTTTCCCCAATCCAACATCTGTTGAGTGACAGTCTTAGGTTCACACAAAGCATCTCCAAGCATACATACAATATTCCAGTTATCAACACTATTTTAAAGAATATACCATTTTACACAAACGTGACATACAAGTCAGACGCCACAACATTGCAATTCCCTGGAAGATCTAAACTTCTCTTCTGCACGTGGAGTACACACACACCAGCCCTTCCGATGGTCTGTTCATCCTGTTGCTGGTGTCCTCTCCTCTCCTTGGGGAGAAACCAGGGCGCCCTGAGGAGGTTGGCTGAGACCAGTGTTTCCAGTTTACAGGCTCTGCTGGCTGCAAACTCCTCTCTTTTCCAAATTGGGATGCTGGGAGCCCCACCCCACCTCTGTTCCCCCAAAGACTGACCCATGAGTCCACACCAAGAGAAGGATCCATGCCTCAAGGGGCAGAGCAGGGCTCTCTGAAGCATCATGCTGGTTTAGGCGAGCAGATCTGAGGAAGACTGGTCTCCCTAGGCCCCGGATGGCCAGCTCCTTTTGGCTTTTCGGTGTAAAAATCACAGTGTGCAACCTGAATTCCAGTTGACTGCAGGAGCTCTGCCGAGGAGGCTCCTTCTGTGGGTTCCTAGTCCTCTCGACAGGTCTGTCTCACAAGTGTCAGGAGCACCAGAGAGGGGAAGACAACTTGGCTCCCAGAGCTGGGGGGGGGAGTAGGTGGCCACTCACACACTGTCCAGTTCGTGATGCGAATCAGCAGATGGACACTGACCAAGGGGATGGTGGACACAAGTCATGTACAAGGGCTGCAAGAGAAATAAGGCAGGAACAACAGAATAGGCCCAAAGCTTTGTCATTCAGAAAGCTTTGCTTTGACTTTCTCAGAGAGGAGTGTGCTGGAAGGAGGGGGAAAGGGCAGGTATGGGTACCAATTTTGATCAGTTGGATCAAAAAGAATGTAAAGTGAAGGGCAGGGGTTCCATTTTCATCAAGGAAACAGATCCTTGGTTCCGAAAGCCCCTGTTGGCTCAGGACCTGTGCAAGTCCACGTGAGAGACAAGGACAGGCCAGTGGACAGAGAAACAAAAGCCAAGAATCCAGAGGCCTGTGGGTCGCTTCTCACAGGCTGACTCACTTTCTCCTCTCTAGCTCTTGGGATAGTTTTCCTGGTGTTGCAGGTTAGCCTTCTAAAAATTAGCGATTTCCCACAAAGCTCCTCCTCCCTTCACCCAGAATGAGGAAAATCCTACCACTTTCCATAGCACCAACTGCCAACTTCAGAATGTTGGTCCAAAAGGAATCTTCTAGGCTAAACATAAGGAAACTCAGATTTTCCTATCTGAATGGCAACCCACCGCCTCTCTTGACCTACAGAAAATAAGGCTAAAAGCATAGCTTTCAAACCGGGAAACAGAGAAGAGGAATGAGCTTCAGCTTCAACTCACGTAGCTGTCTGAGACTCACGAAACGGGAGTGTGACTGTCCCCAGCCCTGCTATTGCCACAACAGCATGAAGCCAGGGAAGCTGGGACCAGGGGCACCAGGTTTAGAGACCGGATTAAAGTAGGCAAGGGCATCATTTCCGCTTTTTGGGGAGGAGAACCAGAAAAAAAGGCCAACAGAAGGCCTAAATATTCAGCATCCAATTTTTTGTTAGATTCCGGCCTCGGGAAGACTTTAGAGCCCGTAGGGCCAAAGCTCTCTTAGTTGTCCTTATTTGGATAAAAGAAAGCAGGTTTTAAGGAGTAATATCTCTCTTTAATCTAACTAGGGCTCTCCAAGCCCCTGTTGGTCCCTGAAGAGAGATCTTATAGAGAATAAGCCAAACTAGAGAGGTGAACTTAGGTTATATTTTCATTTGGGAACACTTTGGGGGTTAGCAAAGCTGAATTTAATTTTTGAACAGGATAATGAATATTGTCTTAAGTGCCCCAAAAAAGTGGGAGGAAGAAGGACCCATTTCTCACCTTTTCCAAACCTGCCATAAACACAATAAAACTCTCTTAAGACTCTTTATCCTAAAAGGAACCAGCAATAAAACTGTCTTACATAGGAAAATGTCTTAAATGGAAAATGGTCCATCAGAGACAAAGACAGGAACCCGAGAAATGTCTATACATTCAGAAAAACTTTAGAAGTTTTATAAAAAGACTGGGTTGTATTCCTAGAGGATGGAGGAGAGCAAAAGCAAACACCAATGACCAATTCACACCAATAGAGAGAAGACACAGAGAAAGCCCCCAACCCCAAACAGATTACAGGATTGAGTTCCATCCTGCTCAATTTTTTATGATGGAGAGATTTCAAAGGCTAGTTCTCTGGCCCAGACAGAACAAGATTTGTAATGGAAACAGAGGCCCCTGGTGGCTCTTGCGTGAACTGCCACATTGACTTACAAAGAGACTGGTCTGGGACCAGGAGAGGCTACACATGCCAGAGACTAGAAAAAACCTGTGTGCGTGCGTGTGCGTGTGTGTGCGTGTGTGTGCGTGTGTAAAACGAAGAATGGACTATATATGGTTCTCTATAGTCAGTACCCAAAACAAGATGCCACTGAGAGCTGGCTGTCAGTAGCCAACCATCTGGTCAGGCATCCCCTGTGTCCGAGGGGACGGAGACGTGAACCCGTGTCCCCATGACTCGCCGTGCCAGATTTCACAGTGACCTGATAATGGAAAAATCTATCTCTGGCTGACCTAAGAACAGTATGTACTGCAGCGGGCTGGATTACGACGACGGGGAGGAGCGGAGGGCAGCGGGAAGGGCAGAGCAGGGTGATAACGAGGGCTTCGTTCTCAAGGTTTTGGGTGATGGGAAGGCTAATTCCGGCAAGAACAACTTAGAATCTAATTTTCAGCTGAAGTCCCCAAGCTAGTTAAATAGGAAGATTTGTAGTAACAGTCAGTCCCTCCAGTCCCCTTGTCTAGAACGATTAAATTACATCCCTCAGACAGTACAAGACTTGTCAGTGGACTGTGGGGAAGTTGGTGAGTTGACGCCAGGGCTAGTGGCATTTGCCTTGGGGAAGACAGCGGGCTTGGGTCGTGTGGCCGGCGGCTTGACCGGGGCAGCCATCTTGACGGACTTGACGGGCCGGAAGGCGCAGGCCATGTCCCCAGCAGCGCTGGCACTGCGTTGGAAGGCAGGCTCAGGGTCCTTGAGGAGCTGGGCGTGCAGGGGGCTGGAGGGCTCCGATGTGGGGGCCACCGCCGGGGAGGTTTTGAGGGGCTCCAAGGTGTCCAGAACCACATCAGGGGTGTGCTTGACGCTGCTCTGCCGCTCTAGCTCGCGCAGCTCGTTCAGGGCAGAGTTCATAGTTGCCTCAATATCCTGCAAAACGGGAAAAAGGAGGAGGTGAGGCAGATGTAGGGAGAAGTCCCCAAGGATCCTATTTCAACAGCACAGGCCAAATCACGAAGAAACCAACTGCAGGGAGATGTCCAGATTATTTTACTTGGCCCAAATCCTTCAACATATGAATGTTCAGAATGCGGGGAAGGGGAAAAAAAAAATCTCATTTTCAGGAGATTTTTTTTTTTTTTCTCCTTTAGGAAAGAGTGGCTGAGATGTTATTTTAAATAGAGTCCTCAGGTTTTAGAGGTAGGCACTGAAGTATTTCTGGGTGAAATGACATATAATCCAGTGCGGAGGGGAAAGGTCGCTGAATTAAGAATGGCCAGGAGTTTGGTCATGAGTACGTGAGATTTATTATCCAATTCTCTCTACTTTTGTGTATGCTTGAAATTGTACATAATAAACGATTTCTTACTAAGTGGTAGAGATGAAGTATGATCTTTGTTTTCCTGGACTTCAAAACCAAAGGTCGAGAAGGGCCAAGGGCTGAGGAAAGGCTCCAGAACCCTGGCCCTGAGATTCATCAGGACACCTCCCCCACCCCACCCCACCCCACCAGAGTGCCCAATTTGAGGAAGCCATTTCCCTCCACCCGTCACCATGAGAGGGACCGAAGAGCGACCAGGAGGGGGAGCCAGCCACACAGGTGAATCACCTCCTGCGAGTCACAGTGGAACAACCCAGCTCTCAGGAAATAGCAGAACCAAAGACCCTTTGTCCACAGCCAGCTGCCCCTCAGGGAGACCTCTCAGCTCCCTCCCCACCTCTCCACACACTTGTGTCTGGCACCCCCAAACCACCACAGGCCTCCTCCCTTGGAATCAGGCGCACGTGGAAAGACTACATGTTCCAAGCAAAGGCCCTGGTTCTAGCTTCTTGGCCCTTACAGGGTGATCTATGCTTTCTGTTGACGGTGATTTTCACTCATCCCTATGATGTTCTCACACCTTAAAAATGCTCAGGAAGAACTCCATCATCTCCCTCCTCAGTCCTGCTCTGTAGCTAGTCTGCACCAGGAATGTATCCCTCCGGGCTCAGGAGGGAGCTGGGAGGAGTCCCACGGTTCAAGGCAGATTGCAGCCAAGAGCTTCAGAAGAGGCACAGAAGTAGACGGCGAGCGAAGCAAGACATCTCAGGCCCGTAGCTTAATACCGTGCTTGCCAGGTACACCTTCCCTAAGCAGAGCATCACAATTAAGCCAATAGAGACCACACGCAGCCTCTATTGCCCCCTGGAAGATGGGGCGAGGAGAATCTCAACTCAGTTGAAACATAAGAGGGCAACAGGGAGCCCTTAGCTCCTACCTGGTCTAACGAAAATTATAGAGTTGGGAGAGGCGTCTGAGTGAACTGCCTGGAGTGGCCCCGGAAGTCGGATTTTTAGAGGTGGGGCTGGATCGCTAACAGTTCACGGAAAACAGAGACTTGTCAGTGTGGTGCATACACGGAAGGAAGGCCCCATAACCAGGGAGCTCATGCCCAACTGCATCTGGAGACATGGGCTGGAAACCCGTCTGGTGCCTGTGCCCCCTGCGGCAGAGTATTTTGGGGCCATGAAACCAGAAGCAGATTATTGATGGATCACTCACCTCCCATTAGGGACCAGAGATTAGCCTCAGGGAACGGGAGAGGGGGATGGGCACGGTGACAGAAAAAATGGCCAGGACTACATCTGAGCCTCAACACTCGGACAGCTTCAAGAAAGCCTACCAGGCTCTCAAAACCCGAAACTTGGGCAGAATGGACTCTATCAGAAGACTAACTATTGGCTTTAAAAAGTACAAGCCCCTTCTTGCAAATAGCCTGTACACGAGCAAGAAGTCTGAATTCTTTTATTCTGTCTCCGAATTCTTCTTGGGGACAGTGGGATTGGAGAATTGCTTAGAAAGCTGCCTTCTCGGGTCCAGATGTCCAGCAGCCCCTGAACTCGGTATGTGATGTACAAACTTGGGCGGTTTCCAGGCCCACTGTAATTAACGCGGGCCGTGCTGCACAGTAGTGACAAATGTAGACGTGCTCGCCGGGTGTCCAGAAGCCCCCCCTTACCTGTGCAATGACCTCAGGGTCCACGGGCCGATGGTTATTGAAGCTCTTTGACCTTCCTGCTGTCACCGTCTTCCGGATCTGTGGGCTGTCCAGCCGATTCTTCAGGGATGAGTGGCGGCTGATGGAGTTGAGGCTCCCATGCCCACTGATGGAACACTTATCTGGCCCTTCCTTGGGGAGACTCTGGCTCATGATGGGCTGGGAAGATGGGCGGCAGCTAGCCCCCACCCCCGGGGAGGCCGAGTCAGTCAGGGAACTGCTCAGCCCATGGTTGTCACTCCGAAATGTCTTCCGGATGCTCCCAGATTCTGGCCGCTTCCTTTGCCTTCAATCACAAAGAGAAAGGGCAGCGTGATCAGGGAGCCCTGGCCCCGAGGAAGCTGGGGCGAGTGAGAGAGGGGCGGGTGTTGGCACCCAGGGGCTTCTGGAGGAGAGGGACACACAGCACGTTCTCTCCTTGGCCTCACCTTCCCTTGCTTTCTCTGTGTCTCTGTTCCCCTGCCACCCCCAACCTGGGCAAAGGAGAAACGGATACTTACTTGGTGGTTGTGGGCTTTGAGTTCTCGAGATGTAAGGTGCTGCCAGGAAAAATGTCTGATTAAGTGAAAGTTTCTAACGGGAGACAGATTCGCAGAAAGGCCCCCTCCATTACCTGCTTTGAACGGAAACCTAAAGGCCCAGGTAGGAGAAAAATTCTCACCATCACCAAGAAGGCAAGAGGAGAGCTGATCTTCCCAAATTCTAGCATGTTTCTCAGTCCAGCTACGGGACTGTAATCATTTTGGGCTCCGGCAAGAGGCCGTTGTTCCCTCTTGTGCAGACATGGGACAGAGTATTTTTCAAGAGGCTGCAATGCTGCAGGGCCAGGGCCAAGTTTGTGCATTTTCTTAGGGTGGAAAGACATCTACATGACCCTAAGTCACCCAGCACTGGGCTGAGCCCTGGCTCTGAGCCAACTTCCTTCAGCCCACTGAGACTCTCCTACAAGACGGCTTGGCAGAGTCCTAGTAGCCTGGGTGTTGCCTATTGCTGAATAATCTCATTTTTTCCCTTGGAATCAGATTCCCAAGGACCTAATCTAAGAAGCAATACAATTTCTGGCTTGGGATGGCAGCTGGGCAGCTCTGATCTAGCAACTACTAAGGACGACGAAGGCCGAGGCCGGAGCTGAGGTGGAGGAAGGGAAGGGGTAGGACCTGAAGACAGACAGCTAGGCTATGTGGCAGAGCCAGGGTCCTAAGCCGGTCCTGGTCCCGCTCACTCGGTCAGGTCTTCTCCATCGGGGCTTGGTGTGGAACCCGGCACACACTCCCTGAAGCTGCCTGCTCAGGCCATCGAACCGTGGGTGTCAGCCATTCTTGAGCAGAAGAAGGATGTTCTCGGAGTCTTATAAGGCCCAGCTGAAATGACTCTTCCCCGGTACCCCAAGTCCAAGGGCAGGCAGAAGCAATCACTCCCTCTTTTGTTCCTTCAGAGCTTTCGATGGCACTGCTTTTTAGTTACCTGGCTATATGGCATTTACTCGGCCGGACTGAGTGCCGAGGCCGGGCACGGTCTTCTTCATCTCTGAATAACCAGCACGGACGCTTGGCACAACAGTGAGCCCTCACTAAATGTGTGAAATTAAATTGAATGCCACACCCGAATAACTCGTTGCTGATTTCCTTTTTCCACTTGAGGATGGCTGACTCACAAAGCTCAAACCGCTGAGGAGGCAGATTGTGGAGCGGCTGGTGTGGGCCAGGTCCCTGGCCAGGGCCCGGGGACGTGAAGAGAGGAAGGCAGAGTTCCTGGTTTCAAGATGCTCAGCTTGGTGGGTTATCCAAGTGCAGCCTGAGTCCTGAGAGAGACTCAAAACTGCTGTGGGAGTACAGAATGAGGGCACCTAACTCAGCCCCGAGGACCTCGGGGTGGCAGAAAGGCTTCCCCAAAGAGGTCAATCTTCAGGCTACGTCTTGAAGGGAGAGGAGGAGCTGACTGGGGGTGGGGGAGGCAGCAGATGCAAAGGTCCAGGGGTGCGAGGGAACCCGGGGCCCCGGGAAGGAGGGACGGACATGTGGGGCAGGCAGGGAGGCTGGAAGGGCAGTCACTCCTCGGGGCAAGATGTGCCCCAGGGGCTGCCACTCGCCCACCGACTAGCTGGCGTCCGAGGAGACCGTGTCCTCTGAGAACCCCGTCCTGACATCACCAAGTAAGGAGTTCAAGGGAGCCACCTTTGACTTTCCACCTGGTGTTTTGACTATTTCAGCTATTATCCTGTACAATTTCTTGGTACAAATGGCATCAAATATATGATGGCTTAGAAACATGTACCTAACTAATTATTGAACTCTCCCTCCACCAACCCCGCCTTGGTTTCCGGGTTAATTAGAGGCTTACAACCTTATGATTATAGGATTATAATTAACATAGACTTGTAAATAAAGAAGAAAATGTGATTAGTCCACAGTTACTTTTTACTAGCTCACCCTCCCAGCAGGGCACTAGGCTGGAGGGAAATAAAATCCTCGTTCTTTTTTTACCAGTCTGGCTTAAATTATACCTACACTAAGTGAGCTGAATCAGCGACTTTGCTAACTTGAGGGTGAAGGATGGAAAAGAGCCACGTGCCCCAACCATTCCCCCTGCTACCGTCTGGTTGGAAGAAAGCCAAGAGATCTGGGCGACCTGGTGCAGTTTAAAAACAACAAGCATCTTTTATTCTCCTTCCAGTTTCAGTGTCCAGAGGCTACGGTTAACAGGTTTTCAATGTGCAAATCATTTCATTCCTCCAAAGCCAGAGGGGAATAAAAACTGTACATCATCTGCAATCCATATTCATCAGGAACGCCCTGGGGCTTGTCATCCCGTTGGCACTGGGCCAAGTTTCAGGGTCTGGCGGAAAAGAGGTCTGTAGGCTTGGGGACTTGGTGTCTGGCCCCTTGAGATGAGATTAGTTCTCCAATAACCTGAATGTCTCTAGGGGAGGCCGCATCACACAGGCGTGGAATCCCTCTAGCCGGCCAGATCGGGTGTGGGTGGAGTTAGAACCCTGGGATGTTGCTCACAGCCACAATGAAAGCTGGGGCCAGAGTTAAGAGCCTGCCGGACAGGAATGGGAATCTGCAAAGGGACTAACAGGGGGCGATGACACAGGGCTAAAGCAACAGGGAAAACACGGACAGTGATTTCTACTGGTATGAAAGGGCAGAGGGGAGCTGGGGGTTAGGCAATGATTAAAGAGCTCGGGACAAAGCTTTCCTTGTTGGGGGCGGGGGGCGGGCAGAGTGGTCTCCTCTCCTTGACGGAGCGAATGCCGGCCAGGGCAGGAAACAGACACATGGTATCCAAATAAACCCCTCTGGGGTCACGTGAGCCTAGTGGAAGACGCACACGACGCTGGCTCTTTGGACGGACAAGGAAGGGCCAGGAAGACATCAAAGACTATTATTTGGGTAAGAATTGGAAAAGAGAAGGCACCTCTGAGAAACAGTACAAAACCAGGTTGCATAAAGGGCCCAAAGCTTTGGTCAAGTTTTAGTAGTCAGCCGGGAGCCGACAGACTCTGCCCGAGCCCAGGGTGGGGCACCCTTCCACAGCAGGGGCCTGGGGCCTGCCGGCGGGGCCTGTGGAAGCTTCCTCGGCCCTGTCCGCCCTGCAGCAGAGGTGAGCACATGCAGTGTTAGGCCTGGCGGGGGGTGCGGCACTGGCATGGAGAGGGGGTGAGGCTGGAGGGTGAGGCTGGGTGTCGCAAGGCACTCGGGGGAGCAGAAAATGAAAAGCAGAGCTTACTTGTTGATGTTTGCAAGATAAATATCGGCTACATGACCCCCACTGGGACAGCTGGCCCCCGCTCTGGCTGTCACCTTTTCTTCAGGTGGCTCAGAAATGACCTCAATCTCAGACTTGGGGCTGGACCTCTCCACGACACCGTCCTCGCTGGGGGAGAAGGGGCAGGCAGGCAGGGAGGAGGGGGGAGAACAACAACAACACAAAAAGCAGCGTTAAATCGGCAAGATGGCCCCCCGACACACACGCGACCCCCCACGACAGCTCCAAGGCAGCGGTGACACCTGGCTGGGCTAGCTCTGCGAGCAGAGGCAAGGAAAGCTAAGGGCCTTTGGAGGGTCGTTTAAATAAAAATAAATAATCCCGCTGCCTTCCGCAGGATCCTCGGCGGCCGCCGGAAAGCTGAGCTAGGGGACACCCGGATTCGAGGCATCTGCCTTCGACCCCACGCTGCCTTCCTGGGGCAGCTGTGCCAGGGCCACCTCCTGGAGAAGGAGGCGGCCAGTCCAGGGTGCGCTTTATCTGCTGAGGTCCCGGGCACTGTCGGGCAAGGACGGGCAGCTCTGCGCTGGCTCTGGAGAGGCCGGCGTCGAGGCAGGACACCGCCACACTCAGTCGTCGAGCATCCAGCCCCGCTTAGAGCGTCCAAGCCGGTCCCAGGTCATTCCACTGCTCTCCCGGCCCCTCTGGCTACTGATGACAAAGAAAGCCCCTTCTCCCCCACAATTCCTCTTCTCTCGGTCCCGGAGTGAAGTCATAATGCTAAATTTGGGAGGGTCCTGTCCACGCACAGATGGCCACCGGGTTTGCGATGTTATCAACAGAGGGAGGATCTCCCTGCAGAACGAGCCGGGGAGAGGCTGGGAGGGTGCAGACTCACTCAGGATATCAACCTTTAAAAAATAATATTAAGGGAAGGACTAAAAACACTGACAGCATCGTATCCAAGGACAGGGAGTCGGGGGCAGAGGCAGGGCAAAGGGGCAGGGAGGCAGGCTCAGGTGGGCTGGGGGGTGGGGCGGGGGGGAAGCCCTCCTGCCCAGGAGACTTCGCTTTGAAAAGCGGGAGCCAACCAACAGCCCAGCTGATGAAGTGTCTCTGGGCCCAGTTCACGTTCCCTTTGCTCCCCGATGCCCTCTCCCCTCCTCTCCCTGTCTTTCCCTGTGTCAACCTCGTTTCCTGGTGGCTCTTTCCACCAGGCCGCTTAAGCTAGATTTCTCCTAGAAAAGCAAGGCATCATTTTCATTTGCAAGTGGAAAAGCGCCAATGGCAGCCCAACTGGTTGGGATGAGCACAGTTGTTTTTAGAAAAAAAAAAAAGAAAGAAAAGAAGTAAAAACGTTTTCCCACCCTGAGCTTTCCAGAACGGAAATGTAAGTGGTCAAACAATAACCCCTCATTATCGCTCATCACGTTTAAGTGTAGATGAGCAGGAGGGCTGGCAAGTTTCCAAAATGACTAGGGGGGTAGCGGGTGGGTGGGGAGCGATTTGCAGGGGGAAGAGATGAGAAAACAATCCCCCGGGGCGCCTGGGTGGCTCAGTTGGTTGGGCAACTGCCTTCGGCTCAGGTCATGACCCCAGAGTCGTGGGATCGAGTCCCACATCGGGCTCCCAGCCCACTGGGGAGCCTGCTTCTCTCTCTGACCCTCTCCCCTGTCATGCTGTTTCTCTCTCTCCCTCTCTCTCTCTCTCAAATAAATAAATAAAATCTTAAAAAAAAAAAAAAAAGGAAAAAGAAAAAATGATCCCCCACGGAGTCTGGGTAGGGTCCTTCAGGGATGGTGTTGGCGCCCCCTGGGGGTTGGTCTCCCTCACTCTCCTTTGGAGCCAGAAATAAAGTCTCACTCCCACAGCGCAGCCGGGGACGCCTAAAGGTGCAGGGGACCCAACGTACGTGTCTTGGACCACGATGTACTGATGGGGGATGAGTCCGTCGATGCCATTGTGCCGGCCTTCCCACCAGTCATCGGAAGCCCGCTGGTAAAGCAGCAGGGATGCCCCCTTCTTGAAGGACAGCTCTCGGGCTGTCCGGCCCACGTAGTCAAACTTGGCAATGGCCTCGATGGGCTCACACTCTGAGAGGGGCAGGAAAGAAGGAAACACATGTTGTTGGGGCCAGAGGCTCAGGAAACTGGGAGGAAAAGCCCAATTAGCTGAACTTACACTGGTGGGAAGATAACCTGGTGTGAGAAATAAGCCACGGAGGATGGAGGGACGAGGCAGGGATTCCCGTGTGGACTGCGCCCTCACCCTAAAAGCACTTGTGCGCCCCTTCCTGCCTTTGGTCCCCCCACCCGGAATCCCTTTCTCTCTCGTCTTCCTGATGAAGCACACTGAGTCACAACTGAAACATCATCATTAAAAAGCAAAACAAAACAAAGAACACTTTATTCTCTCAGCAGTTTTCTGTGCAAAAACAAACCACACGTGCAGGGTGGGAGTCTTGTCAGGCTTGGGCGCAGTCTGCCTCCTGGGAGAGCACATCACGCTGCCCAACAGGCTGAGCCCCACTCAGGGCAAAGGGGAACTTCTCTGGTGCATCCGCAGCTCTTTACGCCAAACCCTATCGCTGACCTTGCCCTGCCGTATTTGTAAGTTTCTTTTCTGATCATAAAATAACTCCATTAATTGCAGAACATTTATCATATTGTAGTTTCAATACAACAAATTTTATTTATACTATCCATTCCCCCTCGTAGACCATGAGCTTTTAGTCTCCATAAAGAGAAAATAACTCACCCAACCTACTTTCCAAGGAGCAAAATATGGAAATAGATTTTGTGGATAATACATGGGAAAATGTACACAAACGTAATTTGAAAATTAAAAGGGGTTTACAAATGCAATGACTTTTTATTTTTGTGTGAGCTTCCGTCTCCTCTGTAAAAAAAAAAAAAAAAGGACAACAATAGTGCCTCTTTCATGAACTTGTTAGGAGGAGTCAACAAATAGCAATTTGTAAAAGCACTTAGAACAATGCCCGGCCTATAGTAAGCGCTGCGTAGATGTTAGCCAGTTATGCCTACTGTCATCGTTACCATTATCTGCGCTGAGCAGCAGGGGGGCGGTCAGAGAACAAGAAAGCAAGCTCCCAGAAACCTGGAACCCGAGGTTAAAGTCAGATATTCCAAGTAGTGTACAGGAAGGCTGCCTACAGGCAAGACCGGGCCCAGCCAGCATGATTGGTGGGCCTGCCCCGGAACAGGCAGGGCTGGAGATTTTGCTACAGGAGGCACACCAGAGAAGGCCTATCTAAATATCCCAAATCTCAGTTCTGTACAGCCTTGGGCATATCACTTGACTTCTCTGGCCTCTGTTTCCTCAGCTATAAAAATAGCGGCTCTATTTCACTAGGATTAAGAGGTAAGACCTACAAAGCTTCCAGCAGGGACAAATTTCCCTACTTCACCTACTCCCCTCCTGTAATGGGGCAGATTATCATATTGATCCATCTGACTTCAGCAACCAAATAAGCAGCCCTAATTTTTTTTTTCTCCTCCAAAAAGCTGGCCTAGGATTGCAGAATTCACAGCAAGGCAGAAAGCAGGGAAAGCTCCGCAGACTGTGCCATTTCGTTCTCATGCCCCGAAAATTCTGAGACCCCTTGTCAGCTGCTGAGTCTTCCAAGAGCCCAAGTGGTCCAGAAATGGAGGTGTGGAACTGTTGGAAGGATGGGAAGCGTGCTGGCTGGACAGAGCCTAATAAATCATGGGCGCTGCCGAGGGGCCTGCAGTGACCGCTGCGCATTCCACCTCTCGATGCACACCCGCCAGGCTGCACAGCGCTAGCATGTCTGTACTTTGGAAAGGGTCAATCTTTCCAGTCGGCAGGCGTGAAAGCGTGTGGTTTCTGCATCCTGAGTCCCACTCCCCTCTGGCTTGCTTCTGTTGGGTTCTTGGCACCCAGCTTTTCTGTTCCCCAGGCTAACAGCTTTTTCAAATGAGCTCTCCTTGATTTTGGTCTCCAGCTACCTGGCAGGAGTCTAGGCTGTGACAGGGGACCAACATCATGCAGGCGAGGGATAGGGAGTTGGAGCGAGAAGCTTTAAAGGCTCTGAAAGGTCTAGCTCTCCATCTCTGGTTTAAGGTAGAGACCGTTCTAGTTGAGAGGGTGGGCTGTCTCTCCAAGAAAGGGAAGGAATGAAAACCAGAGACAGGAGAGCCCCCTGCCTGTCTTCAGGGGGCTGCTTAGCAGGAAGGAGCACGGGGAGCGCAGGTTATATAATCCCTTCCTTCCACTTCACCCCCCCACCCCCTGCCCCTGGCCCCGCTGCCGCGGAAGCAGGGCCCCATACCATCATCGCTCGTGTGGTGCTCTGTGGTCACGTCCTGGGTTGAGTCCTCAGCCGAGGTAGTCTCTCCATGAGGGCTGTCACTGCAATAGAAGAGTCACGGGGACCTCAGCCCTCGCTGACCAAATTCTTGTCTTCTTCACGCAGCTTCCCTGGAGCAAGGGCACGGAAGCTGCCTCACACTCTCTACAGCCTGACTGCTCACCACAGTGATGATGAAACACAAGCCTCCCAGGGTTCTCCAGTCCAGTCCCTGCTGCAGAAACTGTTTGAGACTGCCTGGGACTTAGAATATCCTGAGCAAAGGGAACCCCTTTCGAATTTACAAAATAAGTCTTTTTGAAAATACAGAACAACTTAACTCCTCAAGGGCTGATTCTCTAGGTGAACTAGCCCCTGAGGGAGCACATGGAAGAAAACACTAGGCTTTTGCCTGGGACACAACAGGACCTGAAAACCAGCTCTGACACTTGGGAGCTGTGTGACCCTGGGCAAGGGACTGAATCTCTTTGAGCCTCAGCCACCTACTGATGAATTGAGGCTAGTGGTCTGTATAACATCACAGCGTCGCATGAAGAGTCACTGAGGCACGACGGAGTGGTTAGTAACTGGTCTTCCTTTCCTTCTTTCTCGTTTTGCTTATGTCTGTAGGCTTTGTGCTTTGGTCTTGTACGGGTGAGAGAGTGGGAGGTGAGTCAGAGGGAGAAGAGTCTGCTGTGGGCTGGACTCTTCGAGAGGACAGGGCATGGAGGCTGGTCAAGTTCTTCAACAGTTCACTGAGTCTAAAATCATCCAGGGCTGAGAAATGAGAATGGCCGGGGAAGTTACTAGGAAAGTCGTTTCTACTCCTGGTTTCCTGGCTTATGGACATCAGAGTAGATGGGGATGGGCACCAGGAAGTTCTAACCCCCTGTTCATTGCTAAAGTTTCTTCCTCTGGCAGTTGGTAGTAACAAGGGAGCCTTTCCAGGCAATTCTATGGAAGCATTACCACCTCCTCTATCCACCACCTGGCCTCACGGTTCTTACGTTTGAGCCTATAGCCTCTCCCTCCCCTCGGGACAGGTCTTTCACTCTAGAAAGTTCCTCAAAGGCCAGGGGACCAGTTCAGAAGTCAGTTCCAAGGAGGCTCTCCAGAACCCAGAGAACTTTCTGGGAGAACATCAATAGGGATTCCTCCTTACCAAAAAATGTGGCACAGTTTTTCACTTTTACTGGGCCTAAAACTCTGATGAGTTTCATGACACTCTAGAAGCCCTCAGGGCCCCAAGGGCGCACAGGGCAAAGGCTCAGTTTCCTCCAGAGTTGCAAGTGTAGTTATGTGGCCATCCAGGAAGGCAGCAATTCTCCAACGTCAGAGAGTCCTGGATGGCTTGTTAAAAGTGGACTGCCTCACTCCTAGAGTTTCTAAGTCTCAAGGGCCAGGTGGAGCTAGAATGTCTGTATTCCCAGCCAGCCCTACGGAACATGGGTGTCGCTGGTCCAGAGACTCCACTTGGAAAACCACTGCTCTAACATAAAGGTGAGATGATGCATTTTTAAGGCCCCTGGGAGCACTAGAATTCTACGCTCGCTTCCACACCCACACGTCGGCCACACGGCAAGGCCGCCAACACCTGTGGTCTGAGGAGGCCCCGTAGGCCAAACAGCGGGCAGTCCTAGGGAACCGGGTTCTAGCTGCAGGGCTGGCAACACGTGGTGACGTGGGCCTGGCCTCTCCTCTTCACAGCTGCGGGGAGGCCAAGCGGCCAGGAGCCCCCTCTCCCTGGCTCTTCTGGTCTCCTGGCCATTCTCCAGGATTCTCGGGCCCTAGCACCCCTTCTGCCACCCCCCGCCCAACTCCTTCATCCATCTTAGCTCGCTTCGCTGGCACTTCTTTCCCCTCCCAAAGAAGAAGAGAGGCTGGGAGCCTTCTGAGTGGGTGTGAGTCCATTGGTCAGATGGTCCTTCTTCCCCAGGGTCACCTCCTCTTGCGCCTCGGCTGCTTCTGGCCTCCCACCCAGTCTGCGGTAATAACATTCCCTAACTAATCTTGTGGGTTTTCCAGAGGCTGCTAATAAATGTCGGATGCACAGCTAACAGTGGGGGTGGGAGCGGGGGGGTTTCTCTGGAGAGAACTGGCAGAAGGTGCCCCCTGTGAGCCAACCCTGCGGTGACTGTCTGCTCGCCCGGGCTGGGACTGGGGGACCAGGGCTGTGGAGGGCTCTGTGTCCTGGGACTGGTCCAGAGATATTTGAGAAGTGAGGGCACACTTCGGAAGGAAGATAAAGCAGGCACTGGGAACACTCTTTCCACAGCTTTTCAACCCTCATGTGAGAGAGAAACCGACCCTCCCAAGTCACATGCACAAGGACAGCTCCCTGGAGCTCATCAGCTCAGAGGCTGAGACCTGAACAACCTCCCCTGTCCCCACCAACCATCTGTCAGTGACAAAAAGCTTTCTCTCCGAGCTGGCAACTGTAGGCTTCTCCAGCTCGGACCCAGATGCTGGCATCTGCGGGACAGCAGACAAGACCAAACCCAGGGGTGTCAGTGGTATTTTTATATTCACAGACACATGACTATCACTCTCTTCACTCGTCAGGCAGGAGGCTCCTTCTGTGGTGATCAGGGAGAAGCACGGACCCACTGGCCTCTAATTAAGTAAACAGCCTCCCCTGTCCTCCCCTACTTCAGTGGATAGTAATGGGGCTGCTGAATTGGTTCCAGATGTTGAGTTCAGATGGAATCCGATTTGGGCTGGCTTATGCTTTCAGCCCAGGCTGAAGCGCCATTTGATGGGGAAGATGAAGGGGGTGGGGAAGGAGGTAAGGGACGTTAGGGAGCAAAAGAGAGAGGTAGTTGCTTTTGTGTTTGATGGGAAAATGACACTGTAAGTGGTACCCTGGGGTCTAGTGTGGGGTCCTGGATGGCGTCCTGTACTAAGGCACGTCAAGGTTGGAATCCCCACCACTAAGGTGGCCTGAAAGATTGTCACTGGCCTCTCTAGGTTACAGTGACTGTATCTGTAATATGGAAATAGTAATTTGTTAACTGTCTAACAGAAGGGTCTAGTAAAGATGTGCCCTAGGGATTCCTTTTAATCTCTGCTCCCAGGCTAGGTCATGAAAAACCTTGCCCCACAGAATTGAATCTCGCTTTCGGGTGGAAGGACGCCTAACCTGCCAAAAAATGGAGCTTACCCCTTTTTCTCTCCACAAATTTCTGCGATCATTCTAAATTATCATTGTACGAACTCACAGTGAGGGAATTATGCCTCATATCTAAACTCTTCGCAATAAGAAAGAAAATCTTTCTGGGACCCAGGACTGTGTCTCTCACAACGCACGGCCCAGAGCAGGAGCCTGAGAGACGCTGCTGACTGATGAACAGCTGTTCTAAATGCAACTTTACAAATTTTCCCTTCCTGGAGATTATTAACATTCCTATTATTGTTGTCATTATTTTCCAGAATGGTTCCTCACCACTAAGAACTCCGAAAAAAATAGGGAGGTGGCACGAAGGGGCACTTACTCCACAGGCCGGGTTGAGGCAGGGCCCTGCCTGCACCATCCCCAGATCCTGGCAGCTTCAAGTGCCTGGGAGTGGGAGGCTGAGAGGATCTGGGTCTCTCTCTCCCTTGGGTCTCGCTTGGCCATCTGGCCCCCACACCCAATGTGCACCGGGAACAACCCCCACCTCCAGCCCAGACCCCCTACCAGTAGTCCTCCGTGCTTCCTCCTCTGCTGTAGACGGGGCCCTCCAGCTCCCTGGGGGTTGGGAAGATGTTCTCATGCTGGATGATGGTGGTTTTGATCAGCTCGTTCACGTGGGCTTGGCAGGACACCTGGTCGTGGCCCTCAGGCACTGACATCAGTGAGGGCCCGAAGCAGATGGCGAGGTTGTAGGGGTCCATCATGTTCTCTTCACTGAACTGTGATAAACTGGAGGAGAGGGGAAAGGGGCAAGCTGGAAAGCACTCGCATGAACGCCCAGAAAACACAATCATGGGAGGCACTGCCAAGAGCAAGAGCAGAAGTTCCACAAATTGCCACCTGCTTTTCTGGGCATCGGAGCCCTTCTATAAAGTCCGGGGGGGAGAAGACAATGACCACCAGGACGGTCATTCAGGAGCCACCTCCTCGCAGGTCTCACCCCTCCTCTCTCACCAGTTCCTTGTTCAAATCCTACCTGCCGCCCCATCACCAGCCCCGCTCCACACCCTCTCCGCCAAATCTCCCCTGCTTCAAGAACACCCCACTCCACAGAGCTGAGACAGCTTCCCCACACCAACCCACCAAGCTGCCAGAGCAGATGGAGGCCCTCGGGCTGCCCTCAGGACGATATGGAGAGAAGACACAGGCATTCTGCCGTGTACCTTCTTGCAGAGCAAAATAATCAAATTACTAGGGATATTCCATTCCAAGCTCTAGACTTATTAAAAAAAATTGCCAACCGATTAGCTTCTGTATTCCATCAAGCAAGTGAATTTCTTTCTGGAACAGCTAGTGTAATTGTTTTTCATTTTCATAATGTCCTCTATTATTATAATCAAGATTTATTCAGGAAAAGGTCAGCATGCTGCTCAGTTTCTGCTCAGGCTTCCTCTGGATGCAGTCTGACTTTGCTATTGGGTATTTATCCTGCGAGCTCCCCCTTTTAAAGCAGCAGCTGCTCTGGCCACGCCTCCAACCTTGGCCAAGGACACAAGCCCTTCAGTGAGCCACTGGGCCTCATTAGCCCCCACTGGTCTGTTTGTCCAGGCTGAAGGCTCGGCCAGCTCTGGATGTACACCCCCAGCCCCCAGCCCCAGGTTGGAGAGCTGGGAGCTCTGCTAAGGAGTTCTGCCCCCATCATGGGCATCAGCAGGCGGTCCCCAGCACCTGACTGTGACAGATCTGAGGAGAAACCAAAGCCCTCTGATGCTGAACCAGAGGCCTGAGACTCAGCTGTGTTCATCTGAGTAGGTATTCTTCAGAACTGGACAGAGTTCATTTCTAGTGTATCCCGCACCCAGACTCAAATTACCACGCTGGTCTCTCTCTAACCCAGTGGTTCTCTCCTCTACTGCAGATTCGCACACGTCCCCTGTCCACCCTGGAGACGCAGTACAATGGATGTGAACAGCTGTCACGGGGAGAAAACTGTACGGTTGAGAATCACTCTTCTTGAGGACCTAGTCAAACGCAGGGAGGCCAGCAATGGGTGAGGTTATGGTTCTCAGTGGCTGGACTGCTTCACAGAAGGTCTTAAAGTTTGAATTTTATAATCCTCCCCTGGCTCCTAGTTAAAAGAGAGATGAGATTGAGAAAAGACTGGGAGAAGTTTCCAAGTCTACTTCTTGGTCAAACAAACACTGGAGACAGGAGAGGTAATTATCCTGGTAACCTCAACAGGGACAAGGAGGAGGAAGGCCCTTTCTTCAGTGCGATCTGACGACATTTGGTAACATGGAACAAAACCAGTCATTTCTGGGAAGCCTGGCCGTCAGACGGAAACGAAGTCTAGCCCTGAGAGTCCCACTCGAAGGCCCGTGAGAGATGAGCGACCTTGTCAAGCCTCCTAAGGGAAGGGCTGTTTGATTCATAGGTGGCTACAATGACCAGGGGCTTGAGGACACATCTTCGTGGACTGGGGTCTCATGGGCCAGTTCCATTTCTTACTCCCATTAAAATATAAACCAAGGTCCTCTCTCTCTTCCAATCTACAATGGGAACATGTAGGTTGAGGGGTTAAAGCCATGGTTCTTAACTATTTGGGGGTCACAGCCTCCTTCAAGAATTTGACAAAAACTAGAGATTCTCTCCCCGAAAAATTCATACATGTACACATACAGATGCATGTCATTTCATATACAATATAATGGTGCTAATAATCCATGAAGGCCCTGAAGTCTGTGCCTAGTCTAAGAACTCAAATACTGGATTTTTATTAAAAAAAAAAAAAAACCTAAAATGGAAAACACTGGTACCAGGTCCCTCTTTAAAATTTTTTTGGTGTCAGCTTGCATAATGCCATCTCTTCTAAGAACTGTACTATATTTCTAGAGCTTCTATCCATAATATTAGTGAATTCTTCTAATGGATTCAAACTCATCTTTTGCGTGTCTTAACAAGGTTCGGTATAGTGATTGGGAACACAGGCTTTGGGGAGCAATGAGAAAATTAGGATTGAGGTGCGAAACTTGTTTTTTATCATGTACTTTTCTGGACTTTCTACCTTTAATGATGCACATTTGTCTCTTTGATTAAATTGACAAAGAAAAACAAAACATCCCAAGAATTTTAGAGTCAATTAGACCTGGCTTTGAGTCCTGGCCCCATCATGTACCGGTTCCAGGGGAGTAGTCTGGTTTCGAAGTCTCTTCCCTATAAAACAATGTACCTCCTTCATGGGGCTGCTATAAAGCTTGAATGAAGTATTATATGCAACGCACTGAGCACTGGGCCTGGCATAGAGCACAGGTGGGGCTCAATCCATATTTCCTGTAATTCTAATATCCGAATTGCTTCTCTATACAGGACCCTCGAATCTAGTCAGGGAAAGGGAAGCAGGTCTGTCAACATTTGCCAGCAAGTGATTTGTAGAAGTCTAGCCACCTTCTTCTCCTGACAGACATCATCAAGCTGAGGACTCTAGATCCCAAAATCGAAACCTCAGCCCCTCAGGGAGAACACAACGCTTCGGACAGACTGTTTTAAACACATGACATTTCACTTAAAAACCTTCAGCTTCTCATATGATCTCACTGATATGAGGAATTCTTAATCTCAGGAAACAAACTGAGGGTTGCTGGAGTTGGGGGTGGGGTGGGAGGGATGGGGTGACTGGGTGATAGACACTGGGGAGGGCATGTGCTCTGGTAAGCGCTGTGAATTGTGCAAGACTGTTGAA